TAGTTGTATCATTTGCTGCCTGATGTCCCACAATCCTGTGTTTTCAATTCTGTGACATTTGAGCTAAAAAATAAAATGGTGTCTAAAATGTTTGTGGTCTGTTTTTGTGTCGCTATAGGTTTTTAACAACGTTTCCAATGATGATGTTATTCTAGCAAGAAACTAGTATTGTAGTAATTATAAATATTAAGCAAATGCATTTGCATGACTTGACCAGTAGATGGCAGCAGAAAGTCAGTCACAATCAGAAAATGTAGGAGGTTATCAGACACATCAGCATTGTTTGTAACAACTTTTATAGTCTGCCTCCTCAGAATTCAGACACAGGACCGCGGTGGCACCAGAGGTCTCACTCACTGAACACCTGAGGTGATTGTTTTCAAGTGTTTCTCATCAGCATAATTACATTGGCCTGTATAAACTCTGATATATACATTCACTGTGTGAAACAATAACACCTTTTTAGGAAAAACTGGGTAAAAACCAATCCTTTAGACTTAAAGAGATAATTCGCTCATAAAGTACAAATCATTACTCGTTGCTAGAGCACTTAACATAACAGTGTGGCGACTCTGAACAGCAGACTTGTGTGATTTTGAGTGTACAGAGGTGAACTTCATCATCCTGCTTTATACTAGCACAACTTCAGCTCTTCTGAGTGAAACGAGAAACATGAGTGTATAAAATATTTGCCTGCGTGTATAATATGCTATAAAAGCTGGTCATTTACACCAGCAGATGAACTGAGTGGCATTTTTATTTAGATCATCTGAGCTAAAGGGATGTGGTTTGTGGGCAGATACACAACTGCTGCTGTTTATGTGTAGGTGAAGGGCACTTCGCATTAAAAACCATCAGACCTCATTGACATGCGATCAAAAGGTTTTGCTTTAAACCTGGACAGACCGTAAATGTTTGAAGTAGGCTACACTGAAGGAAAATGCTTGTCTGTAATCGGTTAGCTTTGATTCTGCTCATTTTATGTGGTAAGTCAAACTTCAGTTTGTCTTCCATTTGTCTTTGCTGTTTCTTGTTGAAAGAAAAATGCATGCCGCTCTTGTTCTCCAGGTGCTTTTGGTGCTGAGACAGATGAAATCAAGACAATATCAGTGATGACTGGAGATTCTGTAGTATTACATACTGGTGTTTGTGAGATTTACAGAGAGAAGCAGATACTGTGGCTGTTTGGACCTGAGAATCCAGACACTCTCATTGCTGAAATCTACAAGCTGAGCATCTCTATATATGACAGTTATGAGGGATTTAAAGACAGACTGCAGATGGACCAGCAGACGGGATCTCTCACCGTCAGAAACATCACAACCAGTCACTCTGGACTCTATACGGCACAGATTATGAACGCGATGACCACATTTAAAAGATTCAGTGTTATGGTTTATGGTGAGTTACACTGTTTCAATCTTTCCTCTTACATAGGAAAAATGCTCTAAATGCTGCATTTATTTATGTTTTTGAGAAAGAATATATTAAGAAACATTTTGGGGATTTATTTCCCTGTTGTTTTAAAGCACCTGTCTCGTTGCCTGTCATTGAAAGCAGCTCACAGGTCAACAAGTGTCTGATATCTGGTGAGTAATACATGAAAATAAACCAGCTGTTGTTGCAAGAGTTTACACTATATTCATATTTTGCTGCATGGTGTGTATTTTCTGTTGATTATTCACTACTGTTTACTTAAATTTAATACATATTAAATGTATTAACTTCTAATGTTTTTGATTGTATTGATAATATTACTAAATAATAATGTTTGTTTCATCTTCTGAATTTGGATCTGTCTGTCATTTACTGTTTGACCGGTACAGAGTTTAACAAACACTCACAAACTCCTGTAGGTGTGTGTTAAAGTAGCTAAATTAACTGCATATTAGCTCAAAGGGGAAATGTACGTAAATAATTACAATTAATTATAATTATTTACATCATCTGCCAGTACTGTAACAGAATCAATATAACAATCAACTAATCTGTTCATCC